AGGAGCAGGCGGTTCCGAGCAGGTTGGCCCAGGGCAGTACAGGAGCCGAGCCAGGAGCGGGTACAGGCCAGGGTGGGGACAGTGACCTCCGCCGTTGTCCCAACACAGGGTGCAGGCAGGTCCCGTTCCCTCCCAACCTTTGTCCCATGCCTCGGTTTTCCCACCTGGAAGTTGGGGTCCGGCTGGGTGCAGCCTCCACCTGTGGCCACTGGAGGCGTGTCGCTGGCTGACACCAAGGGCCGCATGACTCCAGCACAGTTTCCCACATCCCTGCCAAGGTTCCATGGGCTCTTATTAAATATTGATGGAGGCTGCTTGGTGCTGCCCCAATCCCGCTGGGGGGAGGGTTCAAGGGGAGGGACAGAGGGAAGGGCTGGGGGGCAGAAGAACAGGTAGGATGGGGACAGGTGTCTACTAAGACGAGAATTCTTAGCTCTGACATCTAAAGCACAAGCAACCAGAGGAAAATACATAAGTCAATTCCATCAAATTCACAACTTTACATCAACAAAGGACTCTCAAGAGAGTGAAAAGACAACCCACAGAATGGGAGAAAATATTTGCCAATCATATATCCAACAAGGGATTAATAACAAGCATAGAGAAAGAACTCTCACAACTCAATAATAAAAAGATAAATAACCCAATGGAAAATGAGCAAAGGATATGAATAGACATTTCTCCAGAGGATATACAAATGGCTGATGTGCGCATGAAAAGGTGCTCAATGTCATTAGTCATCAGGGAAATGCAAATCAAACCACAGTAAGATACCATCTCACACCCACTAGGATAGCTAGACTCAAAAAAAAAATATGGGAAACACTGGTAACGACAATGTGGGGAAACTAGAACTCCCTTGTACATTGCTGATGGAATGTAAATGTGCAGCCGCTTTAGAAAACAACCTGCAGTTCCTCAGTAAGTTAAACATGGAATCATTACATGACCCGGCAATTCTACTCCTAGGTATAGACCTAGAGAAATGCAAATGCGTTCACACCAAAACTTGTACACAATGTTCACAGCAGCACTAGTTACAATTGCCAAGAGGTGGAAATAACCCAAATGTCCGTCAATGAATGAATAGATAAATAGTAACACACCCATAAGGTAGAATATTACGAAGCCATAAAAAGGAACAAAGCACTGACACACACAACAATGTGAATGAACCTCAAAAACTCATGCCGCGTTTCTGTCATAAAAGAACAGACACAAAAGGCCACAAAGTGTATGTTCTCATATATGTGACAGACGCAAAAGGCCACAAAGTGTATGTTCTCATATATGTGAGATGACCAGAACAGGCAAATCTATAGAGACAAGAAGCAGACTGGTGCTTGTCAGGGCCTGGGGAGGGGGATGGGGAGTGACTGCTCATGAGGACAGGGTCTCCTTTGGAGTGATGAAAATGTTCTGGAACTAGATAGAAGTGATGGTTGCACAACATTGTGAATGTGCTAAATGCCACTGAACTGTTCGCTTTAAAAGAGTAATTTGTCTAGTATGTGAATATATCTTTAAAAAATAAAAAAACAGGAGGAATGGGCAAAGGCATCCAAATGTGGGGAGGGCACTCCTGGCATCTGGGGGGTGCAGGGCTATTTTGCGTCATCTGCAGTCCATCTCCCGTATCGCCAGAAGCCCCTGACACCCCAGCCCCATCGTGGCTTGAGGGCAGAGGTAAAGACTATGCCTCTTTCTGACCAAACCCAGAAGCCCCCGGAGAGACAGAGGAAGCAGAGTATCTGAGGAGGTGAACTGAGGCGGCCTTTCTCCCTGACGGAGACAAGCTCCCTCACTCACGGTGGGAGCCATGGTGAAAGGGAGAGTCAGCCCAAGACAGAAATAGAGGAGAGGAGGTGAGGAGGGTGCAAGAGTTCTAGAGAGGTCGCCTTACCCATTTTACAGGTGGAACACCAGGGCCGGCAAAGCTGAGCCATCTGCTCCAGGATGAACCACAGCAGGAAGAATCTGGACAAGTCACAAATTTGGTCTCAATTCTCCTACTCTAGAACACTCTCATCTCAGCCTAATAATAAACCTATCAGCCTCCAGCCCCGTGGGCTGTGACCTCTAGCTCCCCATCACCCATTCCCGCCAAGAACACCTGCCTCAGGGCTTTCGCTCTTGCTCTTCTGGACTCTTCACTATCTTGGCCTAGTACCACCTCTTCCGGGAAGCCTTCCCTTTCTCCCATTCTTCACACTTTAACTTGTCATTCTCCTAAGGTTGATTATAGCTCTGTATGATGATTAGATTAGCATCTCTTTTCTCTACCCAACCAGGAAGCCTTCATGATGGGACCTGTGCGGGACAGAGCTTGGTATACAGAAGGTGCTTAACACTGACTTCCCGAATCAGTGAATGAGTGAAACTGTGAAGTGAGGTCTACTACAGTCTTGACTCCTGTAGCCGCTGGGATGAGCTGAGGAATCAACACTCAGAGGAGCCCAGAGTAATGAGTACACAGCAAGTGCTCAATAAACACTAGACCAGGGCTCTCCTAAGCAGGGTTGCCCAACGCATTGAGGCAGGGACACCAACAAGTGCTTTGAACTTCTTCATATTATACGAGCAAACAGAGGCCCAAAGAGGAACCACCTATCAGTCATTTCCTAGCAGCAGAAACAAAACTAAAAGTGTCTCAACAAAAAGAGAACCTGATGGGAAAAAAATAAATAAAATAAAATAAAAAAATCCCAGGGTGGTGGACTTCAGGTACGGCTGGATCCAGGAACTAGGGATCCATCTCTGCACTGCTGTCCTCCTTGCATTCTTTTCTCCAAGACAGGCTCAGCCTTCTCCCATGAAAGCAGGCTGTCTGTCCCTTTTCCCACTAGCTTCAGCAAGAGTTCCAGGCAGTGCTCAGTAAACATCTAACTCCTGCTCCTTGGATCCAGAAGACTTTGCTTGGGTGTAAGCTTCCAGCCAACTCCAAGGGCCACCAAACTGGGTCCTGTGCTACTAGGTGGGCCCAAGACTGGGACTGTTGGCATAGGAGCATTTAGCTCTCCGGAGGCTCCCTGTGGGGGGTGAGGATGGAGGGTTCTGGACTTGAGGGACGTCAGGTGACTCTGGTCTTTCTCATGAGTCTGCTCACCCAGCATCCTCTCCTGTCTGTCCACCTGCCCTGGCCACTCATTCTCAGGAATGAGGAGGGGGTACCTTCAGGGAGAGTGTGCCTGGTCGATGGCACGGTTTGTGCAAAAGGTGGGACGAGGCAAATCCAAGAGAGGAACAGTGAGCAGCCACGTGTAGCTGGAGACCCATGGCTAAGGCCTCGGTGTTTCCCATCTAACCGCATAAATGGGAAACTGCCTATTCCGTCCAACGGGTCAGGGCCACGACCACTCTCCTCCTGGCCCTTCCGGCTGCCTGATATCACTCACCCAGAGGCCTCATTCCTTTTGCCATAAAATTCTGTGGTTCTGAGTTGCAACCTCTGGCCCCCTCACCCCGTTTTTAAACCGGAAAAATCTGTTTCGCAAACTCGGTGGCAGGTGGGAGGTGGGAGGGGGCGGAAAGGTCTGGGCCGGGAAGACACGCGCCGCTGCTGCCACCTGGTGGCAACAGAGGGAATCGCGGCAACTCATTTAAGAATGAGGGGGCGGTCAGGCGGGGAAGGGGCAGGAAGCAGTGGATTCAGGGTGTGTATGAGAGTGAGAGGCACGGATCCTGCTTGCTGAACTATGGGTGTGAAAAGGAGGGAGGACTGAGCCCCGGTTGGAGGGCTTCCGATTCCTTGGAGGGGCCGGGCTGGGGGGCCAACCAAGGCTCCTGTTATGGGAGGAAGACCCAGCCTCACTCCCCCTGGGGCTGTCCCTCTCTCCCTGCCCAGTTCTGACTTGGCAGAGTGATCATCCAGCTGTGTCTCGCCCAGACTGGGTGCTCTTGGGGGAACCAAGAAGGAGAGATTTAAAAATGCATGTGGAATGAATGAACGAATGAATTCTCGGTTTCTATTTGGGGATTTTGAGCAGGAAATCAGGCTTCAGCCAGGGGAAAGATACCCAAGAGAAGGCTCATTTATTAAGGCTTAGACCCCCTAACAGCTCGGCAAGGGGTCAACATTATCAACACCCCCATCTTACAGGAGAAGAGACAGGCCAGGGAAGGGGCCATCATCTCCCACAGAATGTTAGAGACCCCCTTCTTTTCTCCCCACCTAGATCCTTTAAGCCTGGAGCCCCTGTAGTGTGGTGAGGAGCCGAACACCCAGACTCCGCATCCAGTGCTGCGGGATCAGACACCCAGCCCAGGGCCCTGGGATCAATGTTGCCTCCTTTGGGCCACCCTCTAGTTTATTCCACCCCAACAGGCAATGACAGTGCCTGTCCCTGCCCCATGGATATCAGGCCCAGCCTTGTGTAGCAGCTTCTGTTTCATGGTGATTTTTAGGGTTCCCCTCACAGGACATGTCGCAACAGGTGCTGGACAGAGTAGGGGGGCGGGGCAATGGTGGCAGAGTCTGGGATGTGGGAATGGGGTCTGGGTCACTTGGCTGGAGTTTGACTCTCGCCTGTGCTATGTGGCTTCACGTCAGCCACTCGCCCTCTCTGCACCTCAGTAGTCACATCTGTAAAACAGGACAGCCATGTACCTCAGACATCATGCGAGTGTCTGGACAGTACAGTCTGACTATGCAATAAGCATTTAGTAATCAGCCGCTGTGACTGCGATCGTCAGTCTTCCTGTCCATATGAAGTAGACGTTCCCTTTTCTCCTTCAGGCCTCCAGGCTCACATGCTGAGGGCCACCGGACCTGGGTCTCTGCATTAGGTCTCCCAGGAGTAGGGGCAGTGCAGCCACCTGGGCAGGGCTGCCCTCCAGACTGTCCTGCCCACTGAGTCCCAGACTTCCAGCCTTGGGGTATCCTTGAACCCGTCTCCTGTCCTCCAAGGGCAGCTCTGTATCTAGGGCTGGCTCAGGGGCACTCTGAGGTAGCTCCATCTTGTCCTTGAAAGGCCCAGGCATGTCCAGGTCAGCCCCGTCACCTTTGTCCCAGGGCATGGTCACCACCAGAGCTTGTTTCGGGGACTCCTCCTCCTCCTCCAGGAAGTCTGCTGGGCTGGGCCACTGCCAAGCCTGTAGAGGGAGAGTGGGGCCGAAGCTGTAGGTGGGGTGCTATTTCCCATCCACACAAGGATGGGGAGGACCAGGTCCCTGCTGCCTAAATTCTCTAAAATCTTGAGACCAATTTGGGGATCCATTGGAAGGACTCCCCGCCCCCGCAATTTCTTTTTGGAAAATTGCCCCTGCTTTTCTCATAGTTGATGTGATCGGCCATGTGATCCTGACCCATCTAATTAGAGCACTCCAGCCCCCTGGTTCCTGTCTTAAGCATGGGGATGGGCATGTGACCCATGCTGGGCCAATCAGTGATAGCCCTGTAGTTTTCCTCCAGTTAATGGGGAAGATAGATTTTCTCTTCTGTGAGGGAAGGCTGAGCCTGCCTGGGAGAGAAGCCTGCAGGGAGAACGGCAGCGTGGAGAGATGGATCCCTGGTTCCTGCATCCAGCTATGCAGGAAGCCCACCACCCTGGCATTTTTTTCCATCAGGTTCCCTTTGTGTTGAAGCCACTCTGAGTTCTGTTTCCACTGCTAGGAAATGGCCCACAGGAGCTTTCCCTTTGGGCCTCTGCTTGCCCATCTATAAAATAGGACATATTTTTGGAGTCCCTGCCTCAGTGGGTTGGGGTAGAATAAAATAAGTTAATACATGGCCATTACTCAGCAGAGTCCTGGCCCAGAGTACAGACCCAATAAACAGGACCTAGAACTAGAAAAGGAACCCTTACCTGCTTCCACTGGCTGCTGGGGAACTCGACAGCAGTGCTGGCACAGGGTGTGGGCAGGGGTGGGCACAGATGCCGCAAGACTCTGGGGAGGGAAGAGAGCCAGTCAGCGGAGCAGTGCTTCTGCCTGTTCTTATCGTTTCATTGTTCTGACTTATTTTTTCACCTTCATTAGGTTACAAAGGGAGTGAGGATTTGGATTGGTGGAGGGGAGTATAGGAGTCCAACAGACCCAGGGTCACATCCCAGCTCTGCCCTCACTGCTGGCTGCACTGACCATCTGGGCCTCAGTTTCCTCATGTGTAAAGTGGGCACAAATCCCTATTTGGTGTGAGCAGTTATTACTATTACTATTACTATTACTATTACTGTTACTATTACTATTACTATTACTATTACTATCGCTATTGTCAGGGTGTCAGGTCGGGGATAGGGTGCAAGTTACCTGTTCAGGCTGAGGTATAGAAGGACGCCCAGGAGGAGAATGCTCAGGAAGCTCCCCAGAGATATGAGGACAATGGACAAATCGAACAACTTGGAAACCTGGACTTCTTGGGGGTGGGAGAGCTTGGGTTAGGGGAGGGAACTCTCCTGCCTCCAGCTGGAGAAGGAGCTGGGTGCGCCAGGCCCTCCATAAATTTGCTTTTGATCCTGACACACCATGGGCCCCGCAGTGCCTTGATTTCCTCATCTGTGAAGTGGGAGACCAGGGGACCCACCTGCCTGTGACTGTGGGATAAAGGCCTGGCACCCAGGCAATGCTGGATCCAGAGCTGCCCACCCCACACCAAGCCTGACTCATCGGTACATTATTTTGGGACCAGATTTCACTGCAAGGACAACAGGCAGAAGCAATGGCAGGAACCGAGATCATTTAGTCTCCAAATCTCTCAAAGCCACACACCCCAAGATAATGGAGCCCACCTCCTGATCTTTGTGATGAGAAAGACACTCATTCATTCATATACATTCATTCATTTACTCGATAAATAGTCCCCCTGCTCCTTCCTCTTCTCAGGAGCCCCCAGCAGAGGGAGGAGGCAGAGCCAGACATAGACACCCCCACTCACCCTCAAGGTGTCCTGTATGAAGGAGGGGCAGTCGCAGCTGGGGGACACCCAAAGGGAGCTTTTGTGCTGAGTTTTAATGTATGAATACGAGTTTGACGACAGGAAGAGCAAACATTCCAGGCAGAGGGGCCCTCAGGAGCAAGGCCACAGGAGTGTGAGAGAAAGTTCAAGAGGGGAAGTTGTAGGGTATGAGGCTGGTGGAGGTAGTGGGAGCAGGTTAGGCTGGGACTGTCTCTTGAGGGCGATGCATGGAGGGCAGGACTGCTTACAGATGCAGGTGGGATAGGGCAGTGCATGCTGGGTAAATACTTGAATCCTATCCCTGGTCCCCACTCACCTATGTAGAAGTGCTGGGGCTGACTCCAGGCGCCCCTCAGTGTCGCTGTGTCTGCTCGCACCTGCACACTGTAGGTTGAGCCAGCCCGCAGACCACCAAGGGTGACCTGGGTCTCTGTGGGCTTCACAGGCAGCTCTGCAGGAGGGAAGCAGCCATGGTTCCCTGGATCCCCTATACTCCTAGGAGGCTGGGCTCAGGTGGTAGAAACCAGACCCAGAGAAGGCCATTGAGGTTCCCAGGGTCACACAGCAAGATGGAACTCAAGCCCAGATCCCTTCCTCCCCATGCCAGGCCTGTCCTGCCCCACATACCAGACACCTGGTTGCTGTCCTCATCTTGGCAGCGTATGACATACTTCTTCAGTACACCGGGGCAGGTGCTCAGCAGGGACGGCGTCCAGTCCACAGACACAGAGTCTGGGCCAAGCGTTTTCACCGATATGTGCTGTGGACTCCCCACCACCGAGGCTGCAACCAGCGCCATTGTCACGGTCAACTCCGAGTTCTGGCTGAGCACTCGTACCTCAGCACTGTCCACGTAACGTTGGCCACAGAATCCTAGCTCCACTCCTCAGGTGCTGTCACTCCCCCTTTCTGAGCCTTAGTTTTCTTATCTATGATGGGCGACGCCTCTCAGGGTGTGTTAGGAGTTGATTGAGCTGACTCTACTTGTCCAGCTTCTGGCCAGGGCTTGACATGCACTAGGTGCCTCTAAATGCTTATTCCCTCCTCCTGACACTCACTGCTGAGGCCACTGCTGAGTCCTCCAGGGAGACCACCCTGAAGGTTTGAGCCACTCACCATTGCCCCCAAAGTGATAGGTAGACAGGACGCTAGACCATGAGCTGGGCTTCTCCGGGCGTGCAGTGGCAAAAATGTTGATAAGGTAACAGGCCTTCTGCCCCATTGCCCCAGACGCTGGGCTCCAGTGGTGGGTTGCTGGGAGGATTAGCAATGGTCAGGCCAGTAAATAGTTTGTGTTCCCACCTCCATACCTTTGCTCTGTCCGTGCCATCTGCCAGGAGCTCCTAGAGTACTCCTACCTGTGCCTCAAAGCCTCTGCACCAAAGTCCCCTCCTCCAGGATCCCTTCTTTATTCCCCTCAACCTGCCCCTCCCTCCTCCAACACAGTCCTACTCCATGAGACAAGAGTATCTGAATCTAGCTCTGTCTCCCTGGGCTGGGAGCTCTTTGAGGGACAGGTTGAGGCTGAGGCTTCCTGGGGTCACAGCAAGAAGTGGGATAGTGAGAGGCTGCCTGGGCCATATGGCACCTCCCCTTTCCCTTCAGAGGCTTCATTAATTTGCCACCGGTATCTTGCTAGCTGCCACCTTTCCTGAAGAGAGTAAATGTTTAGGAAACACCCTGGAATGTGAGACTCATTACCCGCCTGGGCGCTACCTGCCAGGGGTGAGCTCTGACACCCCAGATTCCCAGCAGGAGGCTCTAGCCTGCATGGCGGGGGAGGGTCCGAGTCTCTACCTGTCCCCACCTCGGTGTGATTCAAGCAAGTGGCAAGACCTCTCTGGGTCTCTGATACTCTACAGGAACAGTCTCTATAGGTTTGAGCTGACCAGGAGCTCTAATGAAGGACACAGAGTCAGAAGGAGGGCAATCGCCATCATGATACCTGTTCCAGGATGGTCCCAGTCTTCAGGCACAGTCAGGGTACAGGTGGCAGGGCTTCCATCCTGGCCATGGAGCTGCCACTCGATGCAGTACGTCAGGCCCGGGGCCTGGGCTGGCCAATGCATAGTGGTCCCATTGGCCTCAGCACTGATATTCAGAGCTCCTGGTTCTGGAAGGCAACAGGGAGGCACATCAGGACAACTGCCTCAGACCACCCCAACAAGGCGCCTGTAGCCCCTCCCTACCCTCTCACCCAGCTCTACCCCCCACAAGGCCTGGAGGGTCAGTATACTATCTCCCCACATTGGGGGCTGCCGCGGTGGGGCTGGGTACAGAGGAGACAGAGGGACTGTCTGAATGAGTTGAGTCCTCCCCGAGCCTGACCACAGCTTCTTTGCCAGGATGTCCCCATCAGTGCTTCCTAGATTGACACACTTTCCACACGAGCCTCATGGGTGTCTCCTGCTTCAGCAGATGCCTGGCCACCCCAACCTGTCTCACCCATCAGTGGGTGGGGCCTGACTAGAACTCAGAGGCTAAGGACACACCCACTCAGTCCCCTGGGTGCATCTCTCCCACTCCCTAGAACAAGGGTGTCTGCAGCAACCTCAGAGAGGTGGGTGCTGCCTCTGGTTCTGGTGACATCTACCATTTATTGAGCACTGACTGTATGTACCAGGCCAGTGCCAAGCACTTTACAGGCACCATTTTGCTATGCATTGAGACCATGATCACCCCAATGATACAGAAACTGAGGCTCAGAAAGGGAGAAACACTGGTTCAAGGTCATACAGCAAGGCCATGGTCCAAACCAGACCAGGGCCTGGTGGACTCGCTACTGTGCCACCCTGGCAAGTGGCTTCACCTGTCTGAGCTTCAGCTGTCTCAGCTCTGAAATGAGCATCATCATAGCAGCCCTGCCCTTACAGGATTGTTGGGTGCTCAGCAGGGCCAGGACCAGGTGAGATGACAGAGGCGCTCATCTCAGGCACAAAATTTAAAGAGGCAGGGAGGAGGACTTGATCATCAAGATAAACACTGTCTTAATACAATCTTTTTAAAATATTAAAATGAATGCAAAAATATGTGACGAGTGCTATTCATAATCATTAAAAGGTAGCAACAGCCCAAATGTTGATCGGTAGGTAAACAGATAAACAAAATGTGGTTCATCCTCACAATGGAATGTTAGTCATAAAAAGGGCTGAGGCACTGACACACTACAACGTGGATGAACTTTGAAAACATGATGCTGAGTGAGAGAAGCCAGACACAAAGAGCCACATAGAAGCCAGACACAAAGAGCCACATTCTGCTTATGTGAAATGTCCAGAACAGGCAAAGCTATGGAAATAAAAAGTAGATTAGTGGTTGTCAGGGGCTGGGGGAGGAGAGGATGAGAGTGACCGCCAATGGGGATGGGGTTTCTCTTTGGGGTGATAGAAATGTTCTGGAATTAGAGGTTGTGGTTGCACAACATTGTGAACGCGCTAAATGCCACTGGATTGCGCAGGTTAAAATGGTTAATTTTGCTATGTGAATTTCACCTCGATAAAATATATACTTGTATGCACATACATATATACATAAATATAAATCTTGACTTTTCATTTTATATACAAATGTATGTATATACTAAATACATATGTTACATATATTATGCATATATATTGAATAAATTATCAAGATTTTAAATAAAAATAGAATCAACTCTGTACTTGCATGACCCTGAATCACTCTCCATACCTTTTTCCGGGCTCTTGTCCTAATAAAACTTTATTTTCAAAACAGGCAATAGGCCTGGGCTGCAGTTTGCCAGTGAGAATTTTTTTAAAATACTGCTTTATAATATTATGTATCTTGATTACAGACTTTTGATACACCCCTAAAGTAAACACCCGCCTCACTTTACTCTAGCTGAGGCTCAGAGTAGGTGCTCAGCTCTGAGGGGCCCTCCCATGGCCCTCCCCAACCGGAAGAGGCACCTGTGTGCACATGGGCAGGAATATGCCATGACTGGTTGGGGCCGGGGCCAAAGCGATTCCAGGAGATGACAGCCAGGTCATAGGCAGCGCCCGAGAGGATGAGCCTTGTCCTCAGACGCAGGGTCCTCGTGGCCTGGGCCTTACACGAGCAGGACAGCATGTGCAGGTGGAGGCGGTAGGTCACCTCTGCGCCAGACTTGGGCTCTTGGCAGCCTTCTGGAAGCTGGATCTGGGGCAGCTGTCATGAGTGGGAGAGATGACTTGTGGGGATCTAAACATGCTCATTGTCCCCGTGGGTAGACATCAGGGCACAGTCCACGAACACGGACTCATTCACAGACCACAGCCAACAACATGCACCAAAAATTTAAAAAATAATAAACCTAGACACTGGCAAGGCTGCTGGGAAACTGGCATTTACATCCTGTGCACGTTGAGTTTTATTTGGGGGTGGTAATTTGGCAAAACACCCCTAGGAAAAAAAGGAGTTTCCATCTTTGGACCCGCTGACCTCAAGCCTGGAAATTTTCCCTATGGAATTCAAATGAGAGAAAACCCCGAAAATAAAGGAACTTCCCTGTAGACTTATTATGATGGCCCCTTGGGGACCTGGCTGAGTCAGTTATGGTGAAGCCAGTGGGTAAAATATCATGGTTTTGCCCCTGGCTCTGGCAAGAAATTTTCCTTTTGTGCATCGGTTTCCTTCTCTGTAAAAAGGGGTTAATTAGACTATACTAAATGGGCTATTTAGGGGACTTCAAAGAAATCATCTCGCATCCAGACCAACACAATTGACCCCTCCTGGCTTTCCAACATCTACCGGAGCCCCACAGTCCGTTTCCCTGATGGTAGCCAGAGGGAGCCTGTGAATATCTGAGTCCAGCCATATCTCTCCTCTGTTCACATACCCTCCATGGCTCCCCATTCCCATTAAACACACAGTCCTTCTAGTCCTTGCCACCTCCACATCTTGTCTCTTTCTGTCTCCCACTTGCATACCACCCTCTCCAGCTTGTTGTCACCTCCTCCCCATTCCCAGGCCACCGCATAGCCCTGTGACAGCCCCATTACCTGCCCATGCAGATTCACTTGCCTCCTCCCATCTGGGCCAAGTGGCTCCACCAAGAACCTCACGTCGGGCTGTGGGGGGATTTCTGCCATGAGACAGCAAGATGGTGACGCTAGAGGGGGTGGGAGTGCCCCTCCTCACAACCTTCTGTGGACCTTGGATGGGGACCCAGGACCTTTACCTTCCCTCCCACGAAACACAAAATTTTAGGGGTTCTTAATACTTTTCCAAATCTGAAAACAGAGATATGTTTCACAACGTGAATATACTTAATGCGATGGAACTGGATACTTAAAAATGAGTAAAATGGTGTAATTTTGTGTTGGATGCTTTTTACCACAATTGAAAGAAAAAATCTGAAAACAACTCTTAGAATTTTTTCCCAGCAGATATCCTTTTGGGCAGAAGGAGGCCCTAGCTGGCGGGGCTGGGGACAAATGCTGACAGTCACTCCATCCCTGCCCACCCCCACCCCTCCTCACACCCCACCCCCACCCCACCACATCTTCACTCCTGAGCTGTCCTGGCTCCAGCTTCCTATGTTATTTGGGAAAATATCTTCATGATACAGCCACTTTCACCCATCAACTCCTCGTGCGGCTTTAAAAGAACAAAACCAACCAAACAAATCGGAAGGAGAGGAAGACTGATAAATGTGTTCTTTTTAGATCATGAATTCACCATGCTTTACAAAGCAAAGCTTGTTTATGGCCATCTGCCTTATTTTGAACACCTGTCACCTTGTTTCTAACACTTGCTGCCTTAGTTCTAATACCCACTGTCATATTTCTAATGCCTGCCCCTGTTCCTATGGCTCTGGGTGCTCTCACCAGGAGGGACACACACGGGGCTGCTCCAGCTGCTCCAGGGACTTCCTGGGGCCCCTGGCCCAAGCCGCCTCCTCCGTAGCTGAAATTCCTGGGCTGCGTCTATCTCCAGGGGACAAAGGCATGACTCTGGGGAAAAACGGGTCAGACATGAGGCCAAGGGCCTGATGTCTCACACCCAGGGGTACATGGGGCATGGCACTGGTCACTTAGCTATAGTGCATTTACTGAGTGCCAACTGTATACATGAATTTACTAAGAGCTAACTGTGTGCCGGGCCCTGAGGACATGGCAGGAACAGGCCAAGACGTGTCCTCTTAGAGACTCAAGGATCACCCTCTTCTTCCCCTGTCCTAGGTTCAAGTCCCAGCAAGGCCATGCCTTGAAATGTGACTTTGGCCTATGGCTTCTCACCCCCAAGCCTTAGTTTTCCTCACCTGTGAAGTGGGAATAATCCAATACTGAACTACGGGGCAGGCCAATGGGTATACAAAGAAATTAGAACTGGCCTGGCACACAGTAGGTGCTCAGTTAATGCTAAGTTGCTGCAGCCATTGCTGTTACTATTCTTATTCTCACCGAAGCCAGCATCATCCTGATGTCCACAGTCACCCTAGGATGAGACCATATTTATATGTAGTTTTACATTTTGGTGTTGAAAATATTAGCTATTTTGAAATTTTAAACAATTATTTTACTAAGTGCAATGTGGAACCCTGGACTGGATTCAAAGAGAACATTCTTGGGAAAATGGGTGACTTCTAATAACCTCTGGAGTTCGGTTCTTAGTGATGTACCCTGTTCATCTCAGTTGGGAATATAAGATGTTAACAGGAGGGAAGCTGGGTGATGGTTCTAACAGGAGCTCTTTGTATTTCTTTGTAACTTTTCTGAAAATCTAAGATTAGTCCAAAATTAAATATTTATTTAAAAGAATTATTTTAGGAGGCAGAATTTATTTTATAATTTCTTTAAAAATTATTTTAGGAGGCAAAACCTGTCTGTCTGTGTTGTTGGGGGTTGGGAGAACCCCGACCCAGCCTGCCTCACCCTCCCCATGTGACTCAGAGAGGTTCCCAACATCCTGAGCCTCAGTTTCCTCATCTACAAGGGGGGCTGGGAGGGCCTACTGCAGAGTGCGCTTAAGGGATTGGAAATAAAACAGAGAGAGGTCCCATGTCACCTGCCACTGATCGATCCGAACCTATTCACCTGATGGGGAAACTGAGGCTCAGGAAGGGGCACAACATGTAAAGGGAAGACGAGGCTGAAGCTGAGGAAACTACCTGCCCTTGAGATGCTCTCAGTCTGAGGGAGGAGGAGACTGGCCACAAGTCAGAGACTCAGGGTCTCTGTCTTTCTCAAACTGGGGGCTCATTGGGGATTGGGTCAAGGCTGAGGTTTCTTGTAGGCACGGGCTTGTCCTGTTAGGGCAGCAGGAGGACAGAGCAGGGAATAGGCAGCAGCTGAAGAATAAATGAAGGTCCAAAGAAGACATACAGATGGCCAGCAGGTACATGAAAGATGCTCACCATCACTAATCGTTAGGGAAATACACCTCAAAACCACAATGAGATACTACCTCGCCCCTGTCAGAATGATTATTATCAAAGAGGCAGGAGATGATAAATGCTGGCAAGGATGTAGAGGAAAGGGAACCCTCGTGTACTGTTGGTGGGATTGCAAATGGGTGCAGCCACTATAGAAAACAATATGTAGGTTCTTCAATTACCAAAAATAGAACTACTGTACGATCTAGCAATTCTACTTCTGGGTATTTATCTGAAGGAAACAAAAATACTAACTCAAAAAGACAAAGGTAACTCTATGTTCATTGCAGCATTATTTACAATAACCAAGATATGGAAACAACTGAGGTGTCCATCAAAGAGTGAGTGGATAAAGAAAATGTGATATATGTACATACAACAGAATATTATTATTCAGCCAAGAAAAAAAGGAAATCTTGCCACTTGTGACAACATGGATGGACCTGGGGAGCATTATGGTGAGATAACTCAAGCCAGAAAAGAAAAATACCACGTGATCTCACTTATAGGTGGAATATAAAAATAAAAATAAAAATAAAACGAACAAACAAAACCCCAAATTTATGGATGGAGAACAGATTAGTGGTTGTTAGAGGTAGAGAGTTGGGTAGGAGGGTAGGCAAAATGTGTGAAGGGAGTCAAAAGGCACAAACTTCCAGTTATAAAATAAACAAGTCCTGGGGATGTAATGTATGTACAGAATGGTGACTACAGTTAATAATACTGTACTGCATATTTGAAAGTTGCTAAGAGAGTAGACCTTAAAAGTTCTCAACACAAGAAAAAGAAAATCTGTAACTACGTATGGTGTCGAAGTTAACTAGACTCATCATGGTGATCATTTTGCAATATGTACAAATATTGAGTCATTAAGTTATACGCCTGAAATTAATATAATGTTATATGTCAATTATATCTCAATTTTTAAAAAGGGAGGGAGGAATGGGTGGAAGGGCAGCTTTCTGGAAGAGGCGGCCCTCGAGCTGGATTCTGAAGATGGGCTGGATTCACATGTGCTCAGATGGAGGGAGAGGCAAGCAGGTGAAGAGAACTTCATGTGCAAAGGCAAGGAGGATGGAAATCCAGGGCATGGTTAGGGAATGACGACCATTCCGGAGGAAGCCAGAGGAAGCACAAAGCAAGTGAGGGCACCTGGCTGGCTGAGGATGAGGATGCCCTGCTATAGGTAATAGGGAGGTCAAAATCAGAGCTGCATGTCAGAGAGAACTTAGAGGCTAGACATGGCACAAGAGCGGAGAGAAGGTGGGAAGGATGACAGATGTAACGATGGTAACACTGATTTCAAGGAGGTCTGTGCCCACCAGTGACCTGGAAAACTCACCAGCTTCCATGGGCTGCCAGGTGTCCGGCGCCGGAACTGTACCTCAGCACCATCCTGGCGGGCTGGGGTCTCCCACTCCATGCGCACCTGCCCTGCTGACCCTGACACCTTGATGTCTCTTGGCGGAGGGTCATATTTAACTGTAAGCAGAGATGAGGTTTGGGGAGGGGAAGTTAGCATGTGTGTGAGTTGTTGGTCCTGAAATTTTCAGAAAATTTGCCCATGCCCCCACCCAGCCCAGGGTAGCCAACCAAGTTTCCCAAACATGAGTCAGGGACACCCTGCAGTTCCCACCTAAGCCTGGTACTCTATGGGTCAAAGTCAAAATTTATACACAGAATCCTGTTAGTGAGGAGATTTTTAAAATATTAATACCCATTGCTGACAAAGTTATGGTGAGACAGGCACTTTTGTCAATTACTGACAAGAAGGTAATTAATTGATTCCAGTTCTCTGGAGAACTGTTAAGAAAATCTCATGAATTTTTTAGACCCACTTCAAGGAGCCTGATCTAAGGAAAGATGTCTATCACTCTTTCTGCATCTTGTCATACTGTGCCTGATTCTACCTCGGGGACTTTGCACTCGCCGTGAAATACACTTCCCCACCTGGAACACACTTCTCCACCTGGAATACACTTCCCCGCCTGGAACACACTCCCCTACCTTTCTTCCTGCTGGATTCATTTTATGTTTCAGGATGCAGATTGCGCTGGAGGCCTCCCTTGATCTCCTAGCAGTGTCTCATCAGGTATATTAATTATGCCTCATCCATCACCCCCACTCGAATCTAGGCTCCATGAAGGCAGAGGCAGGGCCAGATTAGGGTGAAGTGAGTGAGGAAAGGTTGTACAAATACAAGGTCGAGTCTTGTCTCTATTTAAAATTTTGATATTTTGTTTGTCATGGATTTTTTTGGCATTAATTTTGACTTTTAAAAATGTTTCATTACAGTGTTGTTTATATGACTACTGAGGGGTTTTTCTGGCACCCCCTTAAAATTTTGTGCCCAAGGTGGTGCCTCACTCACCTCATCCTAGTCCCAGCCCTAGGACCTCCGTTGACCTTGCCCATGACCCTTATGGCTCAGCATGGTTCCCAGTAGCAGCCCAATGACTATATGCTGAATGAATGTTGTTGACTCATAAAAACAGAGTTTAAAAACTCAACAAGGTCCTGGCACCCTTATGGTGTCAGGGAGAAATCAAGAAGCAACCTGAGTGTTGGGGATAAGTAAGGGGACCATGAAAGACTCTGCCAAGTCACACAATAGTATTCGGTATGTAAATGGCTGGAATTTTCAAGCCCCTTGCCAGGGGCCCAGAATCTCCCCAGGTCTAGGGTTAGGGACCAGAGGCATCTCTGAGTAAGAAAGGGGCAGCGGAGAAAAGGAGAACTGGGTACTGACCAGAGCTATAGAGCTTCAGGGTAACCTTAGGCGACTTCTCTGTCCGGTTGATGGCCCACGATTCCACCCAGAGTGTGACAGCATGGAGCACAGATACGCCATCCTGGTCAGAGAATTGCAGCTTGGTGGCCGAGCCTGCAGCGAAGTAGCAGCAACGCTTGGGCCCAAGGCTGTGGAAAGGAAGGTGTTAGTGCTGAATCTGGGGTCCTAGTGGACCCAAGAATGTCTCAGCAGCCACAGGAGACAGTATACATCACATCCCTGCGTCCTTCTCTGCTCCTTTTATTCCCCCTTCTGCCTGGGGTTTCTTTAGAGATCAGCCTGGGACTGAAGGGTTTGGGGGGACCCCATATCTCCCAACATGAGCTGTTACAGAGGGAAGGAGGAAATGAATGGATGGATGAATGGATGCATGGACTAATGAATGAGTGAGAGGGTAAGGATGAAGGAAGAACTAGGGGGACCCTAATTGCTGCCCAACTTGGATGTCCACCCAGGCGACTCTCCCCTCCACAACTCAGCCCTACCCTCCCTGCTCACACGAGAAACTGAAGCCCAGGGAGAGGCAAGGACCAGCCCTGGGCTGCGATCACACATCTGAGGGCAGGAGCATAGGGTTGGCAAGGGCTGGATGGTGGGTGAGGGTCTGGGGTCTTGGGAGCTGTCCTCACCAGCACCTCAGGAAGTGCCTGACCCCAGCCGCAGGGCCCTCATACTCCCAAGAGCATTCATAACCAGCACCAAATATCCGGTAGCAGTTCAGGTTCCTGGGGCCCAAGGCTGAGCCTAGAGAAGATCCTGGAGGTTTGAGAACAGACCAGAGTAAGGAAGGGGTCTCTGTGCTGACATGCCCTCAGGACGAATCTTTGTGACACTTATGTAATCCGGTGTCACCGCAGCCTGAATGGCTCTTAGCATATGCCTTTCCCACCTGTCTTCTGCCATCTCCCCAGCTCTCCCTGCTCCAGCCACACCAGCCTCCTCATGGGGCCTCGAACACACTAGGCTCGCTCTCAGCTCAGGGTCTTTGCATGTGGTGTGCCCTTCCCCCAGATCCTGACATTCCAGTTTCTCCTTCGGTGTCACCTCCCCCACCACCAGCCAACCAGAAGCAGCCCTCTTCCTCTCCATCTCTCACCACCCCCTGCTCTGTGCATGTCATCATATGCAGTATATGCATTTATTGGTCTGTTGTCTATCTCCCACATGAGGCTGTGATCCCAGGAAAAAAAGCTGGGCTTGCAGATGATTCCTTCATGTCTAAAACTGTATGTTCACATAATAGGTACTCAGTAAAAATTTCTTGACCAAAGCAATAGATGATACGCCTGCTCAGTGGCAGACCCTTAATAGTGCGCTTTACAAGCCTAAATGTTCCAGCAATGCCTGCGTCAGGGAGGCTGGAATTAAAAATTCAAAATATTTTACAACTGCTTAGCCCCATGTGCTGACCAATCTGAACAGACTCAGACTCTGGCCCTGTGACCCCATTAGGGAGGAAATGAGGCTCAGAAAGGGTGACTGCTCCAGAACACCAGAGCTTGGGTTGGGGCTCCCAAGACCCCAGGTGAGCCCAAGTCTTTGGCTGGGCAGGAGGGAGCTAAGGGAGGGGCTGCTAGGGATTCGTCAATCAGAGCCCAGCACAACCTCCCCCCCAACACAATGGGGAACTGCCCCAACCTGAATCTACATCCTGATATGGTGGGTCCTGAAAACAGCACTCGCTGGTACCGCAGGCTTCAGCTGTAAATACAACAAAGAGATAATGACAGTCCTGGCCTTTCACTGCATAGAGCCTGGGGAATGGCCAAGTGACCATCCCCCTGCCCACCCACTTTCCCATCTATGCACCCACCCACCTACTCATCCATCCATCCATCCACCCATTTATCCACCCACCCATTTATCCACCCATCCATCCACCCATCAACCTCTAGGGCTGCTCCTCCAAAGCAATCCAGGGCTCCATGGCCCCCTCCCTGTCACTAGTCTCCAGCCCTGCTTGACACCCAAAGACCCTGAAACCTTGCTAATCCCTAGTTTATAGAGAGGGAAACTGAGTCACAGAGAGGCGAAAAGTCGCCCAAGGTTACACAGCAGCAACAGCAGAGCTGGAATAAGAGTTCAAACCCAGTTATCCACAGGGGGGCTGGGCCTCTTTCCACTCGATTCCACAGGATGGAGGGAGAATATATAGTAAATACTATGTTAGGTATACCTATCATATACATATTTGTTCATTATCCCTTCCTAAGCTATTTCTCATTGAACTCTGGGAAAGATTCAAAGATCCAACCCATTCCATATAAGACAAAATCAAGACCAGAAGGGAGATGCCCAAGTCTGACCCCAAAAGCCGTGATCACTGATTATCCATTTGATAGAAAGACAGGCACAAAGACAGAAAAACCAATCCTGGAACCCAGGTCCAAGGCCCTCCACACACATTCCCCCCATCAAGAAAAGCTGTAGCGGCTGGGGATTGGGGTAGGGGGTGGGGCGTGGGACTCACCGCCCTGCTGGGGGAGCAGGAGAAGGAGGAGGGGGACCAGCCTGGCCACTGGCTGCCCCATCTGGTCCACGCAGAGGCCTACGGCCCAGAACAAGCTTCTGTGCCACTGACAAGGCCCCAAACACCCTGTCCTCACCCTAGAACACGTTGAAGCTGAGCAAGAAAGAAAACTAAAAGGAAGATTAAAAAAAAAAAAGGTTAGATGTCATGGCCCCTCCCAGGCAAGTCAAAGTGAAAGAGAAACCCAGGAAGTCAGAATCGTGGTGGTCTTGGCCTCATCCCAGCCACAAACGTACCTGCGGGGCAAGTCAGACCCAGGCCCCAGGTCTGGGGTTCTGCTCTGCTGGCCCCAGACCCAAGCTGAACACCAGGTACCAGGCCCCCTTGGCCGGGTTTCTAGTCTTCACTGAGACTCAGGAGCTGAATGGAGCCCAGTGTCCTTGGAGATCTGAGGCCACTATCCCAACAAATTTTTACAAGGTGCTTGGTGTATGCTGAGACACCCAAAATGCCCACCTCCCTGTTTCCCCAAACTCCAGCCTCAGAGGACCCTGGAGAGTCTCCCCACTTCCTTTAGACTCAAATTAGTCTTTTCTCTGTATCTCAGCCTCTGAGGGTCTCAGTGTCTCACTCTCTCCATTGTCAACAAAGTCCAAAATGTCTGTGGAGAAGATTCATGCTACAACCTCAAAAACATGATGAACCTCAAAAACATGATGCTGAGTGAGTAAAGCCAGACACAAAAGGCCACATGGTGTATGATTCCATTGATATGAACTGTCCAGAACAGGCAAATTACTGACTGTCAGGGACTGATTGCTCATGGGGATGGGGTCTCCTTTTGGGGTGAGGAAATGCTCTGGAACTAGATACAGGTGCCAGTTGCACGACATAGTGAATGTGCTAAATGCCACTGAATATGTTTTTAAATGGTTCTTTTTATGTTATGTGATTTTCACCTGAAAAAAAAAATGTTCATAGAGCCCATCAGGACTGAGGAGCAGGATGAGGGTCTCTGCTGGGGGAGAGCATCCAGGAAAACTGAGACCCAGGTGGGCAGGAAGGAGGCCCTTCCTCTAAGGATCCCAGTCCCGAGGGGCAGCTGGGCCAGCTAGGGTCAGGCGTCCAACAGGCCATGAGGTCAGAGCCATGGGAACAAAGAGGCAGTGTTCCAGGCCTGGCACAGTGGGGACAGGGACCCTGTGATCCCACACAGAGCAGCCTTCACCAGCAGCACAGTGGGGCCCAGGCCGGCCCAAGGGGCAGAGAAGGTTTCAGGACCAATGAATGAGGCCTGGGGATGGGGCAAAAATAGAGACAGAGATTGAGAGAAACGTGAAGAAAGGTGGAAGAGACAGTTGGAGACAGGGGCAAACCCATGGCGCCTCTTGACAATCCTGAGACTTCCCACCCCAGGAGATGCCATCATATGCCCCATTTCACAGGTGAAGAAAATTAGCCCAGAGGCGCCCTGACCGCTTGAAGTGAAGAGATGCATTCAGACCCTGAGACAGAACCTGCCAGTAGGACCGAGCTTTGCTCCTTCAGGAATAAGGCCCATACCCAGGGCTGCTCCCCACCTCCTACCCCACTAAGGTAGGTCCCCCTAGGCCTCAAATTCCCCATCTGCACCATAAGCTGTAGTGAGGATAAGGAGGGCTCAGATCTGGGTGGATGCTGCCTACCAGAGAGCCAGAATGATTAGTCATTGTTTCGAGACCCCCTTCCCAGTGGCCTCTGCTCTTGTCACATCTCTTTCCCATCCCACCAACATCAGAGCAGCTGCTAGAAAACCATTGAGTGAGGGACAAAGGTAGCGGGGAGGGGGCAGGCTGGACATAGATGCCCCCAGCTCTTTGGGGTCAGGACTTGGTTCAGGGAAGGGCAGAGTCTGGGGGTGTTCCAAAGGGCAGCATGGAGGGATGCCCAAAGAAGGGAGTGCTTGATTTATAGAATTACAGGACGTTCCAGGCAGAGGGCACAGTAGCGCCAAAGTTTGGGGGACATGCTTTGGGGAACACCAAGATGAACGTGGTGGGTCTGGGACTCTGTGGGTGAGATGAAGGTGGTGTGTGGACTGGGGCCACTAGTGCCTGGCTGAAGGGCGGGGCTTTCTCCCAAGGGCACTGGGGAACCACAGTGGGTGTGTGGGCAGGGCCCCAGTCACATGTGAGATGGTGTTTCTCTTATCGAGGTCACAGTGGAAGGCTCACCCTACAGTTCACCACAACCCACCTTCCCTCTGCCAAGTCTTTGCACACCACCTCCCTTGGCCTGCCCGCTGCCTAGTCAAGAAGCCCTGAAGGATTTTATTGCCTCCTCCCATCTGTCCCAGAAGCATAGCTGGGCTATGCAGGGCTGCCTCACTTTCACATATCTTAGAAGCCGAGAGAAAGGGGAGTCAGGAAGGATCAGGTTACAAGGGCCCCCGGAAATTGTGACAGAAGGAACCACAGAACTTCCCTAGCCCCTCAGTTTCTGCTTTCTTCCCCAGAAGAGTGATCTTCAGTCTGAGGAGGACTGAGCTTACTTTAATATGGTCAAGAAACCCCGTTGCCCCAAGGGGCATCTAAGGAAGATGTTGAAGGATGAGTAAGAGTTTGCAAGGAGAAAATTTATTTATGTAACAAATATATTAATAGGCATCATTCACAAGCAAGAACATTTTTCATTCACTCAACCAGGACTTTCTGATGTCTTCAGAGGATCATCTGAGGATGTTTTTAAGAATACATAGAAGGTTATCGAGCAAAAATTTGTTCATTCATTCAACAATCACACTCCCTGATACTCTGTATGGAGAATCTGAGGTTGGGTTTTGATGGATATATAGAAGTTTACAAGAAAAAAAATCTATTCCTTTAATAAATGTACTCTGATACTTCTCAAAGATAATTTAAAGTGGATTTTGAAGGATGCATAAGATTTTGAAAGATGCATAGGATTCTGAAGGATGCACTATGAAAATATTGCATTCATTCATTCAGTCAGCCAATAAATGCTCCCTGATGGCCATTGAAAGGGTCATTTTAGAATTTCTGTGTAGGAGTGCTCCAGACAGAGCAGGGGCATCTGAGACCTCTCTGGTGGCTCCCCCACCAGTAGCTCCCCATTTGCCCAGCCCAACCACCTCTGGTACAGGGAGCACCCTCTCTTTTCCTCAAGATTCCAGCCAAAGTCCCAGGGAAGACGGTGATTGACTGAGCTTGAGTCACATGTTCACCTTGAACCAATCACAGTGGCTGGGGTGAATAAAGACTCTAAGTCACATTTCTACCCTAGCCTGGACTACAGGAAAACTTTTAGGCAGAACTAGCCAGAGACAGAACATTTGCCCATTATAGGACATCAGCTTCCCATCATCTGGAATATGCAAGCCACAATCTGAAGTCCAGTTAGTGTAGGTTTGCCAGATAAAACACAGTTAAATTAGAATTTCAGATAAACGACACATAACTTTTTAGCATAACTGTGTCTCCAGTATTGCACAGGACATATACTGAAAAGTTATTCGTTGTTTATCTGAAATCAGATTTAACTGAGTGGCTGTATTAGCTCGCTAGGGCTGACATAACAGTTTCACAGACTGAGTGGCTTCAACAACAGAGATTTATGTCCTTACAGCTCTGGAGGCAGAACGTCTCAGATCAAGGTGTTGGCAGGTTTGGTTTCTTTTGGAGTCTCTCTCCTTGGCTTGTAGACATCTGTCTTCTTCCTGTGTCTTCACATGGTTGTCCCTCTGTGCATATCTATGTGTTAATCTCTTCTTTTAAAGATACTAGTCATATTGGATTAGGATGCACTCGCATGACCACATGTTACTTTAATTACCTCTTTTAAGGCCCTATCTCCAAATACAGTCACATTCTGAGGTCCTGGGGGTGAGGATTTCAGCATATGCATTTTGGGAGAATACAGTTCAGCTCATAACAGTGGCTGCTTTGAAAAACAGTCTAGTAGTTTTTGAAAAAAAGTTAAAACATAGTTACCATATGACCCAGGAATTTGCTCCTAGGTATATACCCAGTAGAATTAAAAGCAATGTACCCACAACAACTCGAATGTTCAACTTGAATGTTCATAGCAGCACTAGTCACAACAGCCAAAAAGTGGAAACAACCCAATGTCCGTTAACACATGAACAGAAATGGTACATCTATACAGGAATATTATTCAGCCACAAAAAAGAATGAAGTACTGGCATTTGCTACAATTTAAATGAATCTTGAAAACATTATGCTGAGTTAAAGAAGCCAGACGCAAAAGGCCACGTTATATGATCCCATTTATATGAAATGTATGGAACAAGCAGAAAGCAGACTGATGGTTGCCAGGGTATGAGGGGAAATGAGGAGTGACTGCTCATGGGTACAGAGTTTCTTTTGGGGGTGATGAAATGTTCTGGAATTAGATAGTGGTGATGGTTACACAACTCTGTGAATATGCTAAAAACCACTGAAATTTACACTTTAAAAGGAGAATTCTATGGCATGTGAATTATATATCAGTTTAAAAATGTTTATGAGAAGAACAAGTTTTCCCTAGGAATCCTGTATTTCTATGTACTCAATCTGGCGAACCTAACTCGGTGGATACTACAGAACCTTACAGGCAATTGGGCAGAGGACCCTCCCTAGGGGCCCCTCTAGCCCCACAACATACTCTAATGTCCAGGTCCAACAGTGGGGCAGCTGAAGACACCTGCAGCTACAGACACAGCGTGAGTCCCAGTGAAAGAGAGAACGTGGCTGCCAGCTTGGGACTTTGAGCTTTTCCCAGCCTCAGTTGCCCTTCTGCCAACTGGGGCTGAACAATTATCATAAAATACCTGTGGAAGGTGGTCCTCATGAGGCATTTAGCCAGATACCCAGTTGGCACTCAGCAAAGGCAGCCATCCCAATAAAAGAAACGCAAGCACAATAGATACCTGTTCTTATAAATAACATTTTATCCGGACTAGGGCCAGGATTAGGGTGAAGCAAATGAGGCAAGGTAGTGCAAGGGCAGAGTTTGATTCTGTGTTTATATAAAATGTTGATGTGTAGTAGATCATGAATTCTTGCATTAGTTTTAATTTTTAAAGATATTGTGTTAAAACATTATTTATCTTGATTACTGAGTTTTGGGATCGCCCTT